ATGATCCACGATCATTTGGTAAAGAAATTTGACCACCTATTTTCAATTGTTCAGTAAATTTCGTATCGATACCACTATTATAAAAGGCAAGAATATGGAGGTTGTCTAACATTCTGAGTACATGTAAAAGGGCTCCAGTCGCACCTATATGAAAGTCTATAACAAATAAGTTTAGAATCTACCAACTTCTGAGATTTATAATTTAAATGATAATACAGTATCACTAGGGTTAGTATAACTTCCTGTATATAACCAAAATGGTTCTAGTCTTGTATAACAACATGCTGAAAGCAAGTATAATATAGTAGTATAGTGTTACTGAGTTGGTGTAACTCTCTAGATACAATTAGAATTGTTTTGTATATCTGTAAAATAAGTTCTAAACCCCACTATAGCAAGTAGTACTTAAAAGAATAAAAGAATGCACTAAGCAACCATATAATATTAAGACCTAGAGCATTTGTAGTTGAACTGCGATAGCAGAAACTGGCTTAAAATATGGGTTAGTAGTATCTGAGCAGAAATATGAAAGAAAATACCCATCAATAAAATATCAACTTTGTTATGTGACAAGCCTAACTAGGCAGCAGTTTCTGGCTTGAGATACGAGTTTTTGCAGATCCTAAACCTTTGTCAGAATTTCCTTAAGAGAACTAATAATATGACACACCAAACTAGGAGATTATTAAGATCTATAATCCAAATGTTACCAATTTAGGAATTAAATAGGAGCGAAAAAGTGAGTGATACAAAAAACATAGTTTAGCTAAATATAGTAGTTTCAGGATACAGAAGTAGTATCAGATGCAGGTCTGATTCTCTCTACTGAGTGAGAGATACCTTGACTACTAGTGTTAGTTTTGGCTATAACATGCTGGTGGTGCAACTAGGATATATTTAGACACTCATTAGGACAGTTGAATAAAGATCAGATTGCTAATTGGGTTAGCATAGCCTAGCAATAGGTTGTAATATAATTTAAAAATTATGCATATATCTACAGATAGATCTAATAAAGGCTTCACCGGCTTTCCTAACCAAAGTTTAAAAAAAAATCTTTTAGTTAGATTTTAGAAAATTCTACTTTGAGTTGTCTGCGATTCTATATAACTGGCCAATCTTTAAGTATATATACAGTATAACAATTTATGTACTTCCTAAATTGGTATAGACCTAGACATAGGCATAAATCTAACCAGTAGAGCTACTTCCAATTGAGTTTCATGTAACAATATTACTTCCAACTTACAGTTGTATTGGTTGGTGTTTAGAATTGGTATATCTATATTGGTCTTGTATTTTATCAAAGACTTCCAATTGGATACAACTTATACTGACGATAACTTCCTCAATAATTCCTTTTATGTATTAGTTTAAAAAAGATAAAAAGCCTTTTCTTTTAAAATTAAGTTCTAATCCAATGTCTAATAAAAATTTATAATCCATATATTATTGTTTAAGATATTCACATTGTCACTTTTTGCTTGTCCAAGCAGACTTGTGAGTAATAGATCTTTTTCTTTTGTTTGGATTGCTCATTCTTCAACAGGTAGAAGTGGAAAACCATGGTATTTATATTTAAATCGTAAATGTTTACCACCAATCATCGCATGAATTAACAAAAATTACATATCAAAGCGCCGATTTTTAATCACATGATATGATTGGCGATTATAGGTTTCCGGAACCATTTATCAATAAAATCCCTTGCTCAAATTCATAAGATAGATCAAACTGCTTGTCATATTTCAGTGTTGTTAACTGGAAACACTGGAAGGCCACTGGAAGGTCACTGGAAGCAAAAATTAATAGTACCACTGGAACTTTTACTATTAGAAATTTTCACTGGAAGGCTAGAAATTCCCACTGGAAGCCAAAATTAACATCACTGTCATATTTAACTTTACCATTAAAACATAAATCATAAAAAAATATGTGGATTACCTTATACGACATTGTCGTGTGCTTCTTTGGTTTGGTGCTAGACACCTTTTTTCGCGAAATAAAAACACGAGGATCTCATAAAATTCCAGAAGAAGGTCCTCTCATTTTTGTTGCTGCCCCACATGCAAATCAAGTAAGTTATCAATAAAACTTAATTAGTTTTATGTCGTTTATTAAACCAAATCTTCTATTCCTTCAGTTCGTTGATCCGCTCATTCTAGTGAGGAATAGCAATCGACCTATTTCATTTTTAATCGCGGAAAAATCTATGAAACGCAAATATATTGGCTCTATTGCTCGTGCTCTTCATGCAAGTAAGATAATTGATTTTTCTCATTTTATTTAAAAAACTTGGTGATTAAACTTCGTGATTGTTAACAAAAATTTTCTCAATAGTACCCGTCGTAAGACCTCAAGATTTAGCCAAACCCGGAAAAGGAAAAATTTATTTAAATGACCGTAAAACTGAACCTCTTATTATTAGTGGTATCGATACGAAATTTACTGAACAATTGAAAATAGGTGGTCAAATTTCTTTACCAAATGATCGTGGATCAT